AATATTACGTAGACAAATAATGTATATATTTAAAAAAAGTACAAATTTTCTCAGTATATTAAATATTGTGTGAAATAATTGTAAAAATAAAAATTGCTGAAAAGTATAAATATATTTAGTTGAACAAAAAAAAATTGTCAAATTTTTTAATGTGCTAATTTTTGTAAACAAATAAAATTATTATTATTCAAATAATAAAGCATGGAAATAAATGAACTGCATAATATGTGAGTGGTAAAATTGTGAAAATAGACATATTTCACGTGAAATATGTCTATTTATTTATTTATTTATTTTTTTTATTTATTTTGTTTTATTTAAATAGACATATTTCACGTGAAATATGTCTATTTTCACAATTTTACCACTCACATATTATGCAGTTCATTTATTTCCATGCTTTATTATTTGAATAATAATAATTTTATTTGTTTACAAAAATTAGCACATTAAAAAATTTGACAATTTTTTTTTGTTCAACTAAATATATTTATACTTTTCAGCAATTTTTATTTTTACAATTATTTCACACAATATTTAATATACTGAGAAAATTTGTACTTTTTTTAAATATATACATTATTTGTCTACGTAATATTTTCCTATTAAATAGATTGGATGTTTTCAAATAAATTAAAACATTTACAAAAAACATGAAATATTCGTATCAAACATTGAAGTCAACGCGCAGCGCGCGCATTCTTTAAAAATTACATAACTTTTTTGTTTGTTAACTAATTTATTTGAAATTTTCCAAAAAACTTCCTTAAATATTGAGGAACAACTTTCTCACTGCAACTTTGCTGAACTCAAAACTTCCCCGCATACTTTTTCTCGTTGAAAGTTACAAAGCTTCATTGTTGACACGTCATCATTTATAATAAAAAAAAATATAAACAATGAATAATTTTTCAAAATTTTAAGACTTTTTCAGTTTCAGGAGACCCTAATGAGTATACATACCAAATTGAAATCAAATTCATTTATATTTGTAGTAGATAATGCGATTTATGTTTTAAAATTTCATTAAATTTCAGAATAAAAATTTTTCACTTTTTATTTTTTTTTGTAAAAAATAATCGTTCTATAAAAAAATGACAATAAGAAAAAAGTTGTGCTTTTTGATTTTCTTTAAGATAGCGTTTTTAAAATATCGAAATTTTGAAATTTTTTTTCCCCCTATGTTTCATGCCATTGACTGGCTTCACAAATTTCAGCCGATCGAAGATCGAGTTATTTGACTGAACGCCTCAATTGTCCTGGAATGTAAAAATGCCGATTTCGATAAGAAACAGTAAATATTTGCTAAAAATTGGTAAAAGCAAAGTTTGACAAGCGCGACTGAATTTACCATGTGAATAAATGAACTGGTAAGTTTAAATGGACGAAATGGACTAAAAGAAATCTATTGTTACCGACAGAAAGTTCCTAGAGAATTGTGGTTAATTCAACAAAACAATGAAATTTCATTATTTAACATTCTCTAGGAACTTTCTGTCGGTAACAGTAGATTTCTTTTCGTCCATTTAAACTTACCAATTCATTTATTCACATGGTAAATTCAGTCGCGCTTGTCAAACTTTGCTTTTACCAATTTTTAACAAATATTCACTGTTTCTTATCGAAATCGGCATTTTTACATTCCAGGACAATTGTGCTTTCAATTTATAATGTGTACTCTGGTCATGTGATTTTAATTTTAATGCTAAAATAAGACAGTATTCGGCGGATGAAAAAAAGATTGAGTCAAACGTCCCAATACGGTTTTTACTCGAATCCGTATTGGCTCAGAGCTTCACTCAATTCCTAAACGCTCCACTCAATACTTCTTTTTTTACTGGGTAATAATTAATATGTGTAACTTGTATAATTATTTTTTTATTAACATTCACTAAATTGTCCGGACTAACTTTTGACTGTTTCAGACTAATTCCGGATTCACTAGTTAAAATTAACTGATTAATTTCGGACTTCTTCGGACCAACTCCGGTTTCACTAGTTGTTCACAAACCGTATAGAATTCGAATTTTTCCGGATTAATTTCCGGTGACAAAAACCTGACCATAAACCTCATTGTTTCGGACAAATTTCGGATTAGTCCGAAATCTGTCCGGTTTTTTAACCAGGAAGTCATTTTGCGAATTTTAATTTTTACGAATTTTCTGTTTTTTATTTCGCTTAATGTTATTTTTTGCAAATATTTGCAAAAAATTACAAAGCGGTTAAATGTCATTTGAGCAAAAATTTATTAAATATTTAATTAATATTTTTTACATACTAGCATATATTGCAAATCTCTATAAATATTTTAATTTCTGCTTGTATTTTTATAGGTACTTACAAAAATTATAATATTTTACATAAACTTACGTTTTTTAAATTTGCAGTTTATATAGACAGGTCGAAAAATATTTCTCACGTCGATTCAATAGCCGCGGTCGTTATAAGCGTTTAGATAGGTAGGTCATAGGTGCGGGGTTCGATTCCCATAGTGTACAAGTTTTAATTTAATTCTTCCAGTTTAATTAAAATGTTTGTATGTTTGGAGTGTGCTAAGAATATAATGTTATTAATGGTCATCAGAATCTTTTATTATTTTTTCCACAAATATTTTATTTCAAAACTATGTTTTCAATTGTAACCACCTTTGATACAATGAGAAAGAACTTTCTGTCATTTTTCGATATAGGATTTGATAGAATTTAAATCAAAAAATCTTATTGGATTGGAAACAATTTTTAATAATCAATTTTGATAGAATTTGATAGGACTTTCTTTGAAATCAGTGGGACAACATGGGACAATTTTCGGATAGACAAAGTATTGATTTGGATAGATTTTCTATTAAAAGTACGTGATAGAAACTGATTGTAATAAATTGTTGAAAATTTTGGATTCAGAAACACGATTGAAATGGAAAGAAATTTTTTTCTTTACATTTCTATCAAATTTTTTAAACAGGAGAGCGATAAAGAGAACGTTTGCTCAGTAACTCGGTCGGAAAATGTTACTGAACTTTATATAGGGTAACTGCTCCAGTCGTTGGCACCCTTAAGGCCAAATTTTGACTTTAAGAATTATTTTAATATTAAATGTGAAAGAAGCTATCAATTATCCGAATCAATTTTAAATTAAATATCTTAAATAAATATCAATGAGCTCATAGATTTCATATGTATCGACAGCACAACTGCCCAAATATAGAAACCTGCTTAATCTGAAAAATATTTTCGAAATTAATTAATAATATCAAAATTATCAAAGAACTCAGAAAAACGGTAGCATGGTGGGATACGAGCCCACGACCTTTCTAATGCCGGTAGACTGCTCTGACCACTGAGCTACATGCGTTATCGTGTAATAATGTAGGAAGGGATAGTATATGTCATGGAACTCGGAGAGTCTCGGGGTGCATGTAGCTCAGTGGTCAGAGCAGTCTACCGGCAATAAAAAGGTCGTAGGCTCGTAAACCACCATGCTACCGTTTTTTCTGAGTTCTTTGATAATTTTGAAATTATTAATTAATTTCGAAAATATTTTTCAGATTAAGCAGGTTTCTGTATTCGGGCAGCTGTGCTGTCGATACATATGAAATCTATAAGCTTATTGAGATTTATTTAAGATATTTAAGTTAAAATTGATTCGGATAATTTATAGCTTCTTTCACGCATTTAATATTTAACTGCCGAATGATAAATTCACTTTCTTTAATTTTAAATTATTTTAATAGATAAAAGCTAATATTATATAATACTTATAGTAATACACAGTAAAAACAAGTGTCTTAATGTAAGACGTTTTGTCCCCACTTTTAAAACATTTGAGGTGTTTTATCTCAAAATTATTATGGTAAAACACTTCAAATGTTTCAAAAGTGGGACAGAAACGTCTTACATTGAGACACTGTTTTTACAGTGTATATGTATTCAGAATTTAATGAAGAATACGATAAAATGATCAATCTTGAATAAAAATAAACTGAAACTTTTAAATTATCTAATAATGATATAATGACACCAATTTCCAGTCGTTGGCACTCATACATAACCTTTAAATTTCTTATGTATCAAACAAGCAAATTAAAATTTTTTTTATTTTGTGATTAATCAAGGATAATTCATTATAATTTGAAGTAATAAACAAATACAAAAAAATATACTTATATATAATTCAATAATAAGTGTATATATCATTTTTCAAAGAGACTGAAATTATTGACTAGACGTATAAACATTGCTACATAACCTCACTTTTCATTGCAAAATGAGGGGTGCCAACGACTGGAGCTTGGTTAAAAATTCTGCTTGTCTAGTCGTTGACATATGTGTGTGCCAACGACTGGAACAGTTGCTTTTTTAAATATTTTTATTGGCACCCCTTTGAAATAAATATGAATTAATAATTTTTAAGACAAGATGTGTTAATTATCAATATTTAAATATTCTACTAAAACATTTGCAAAGAGAAAAGCAAATTTACCCACTTCTAATAATAATAATAAATTAAGTTCAAAAATTTCAGTTTTCTTAAGATTTTTATTAGAAAAACTGAAAATTTCCTAACACGTTGAGAATGATATTAATTTAATTTTTTTAAATGCAAGTAAGTAATTACTTCTAATAAGTTATATACTAGATTTTTGTAAAAAATGTTGGAAATTTTAATAATCATATTCAAAACATGCTAGATTTTTGCTATATCTTGTTATTTAAAGAAAACCTAAGAGGGGTGCCAACCACTAGCGCAGTGCCAACGACTGGAGCTGTTACCCTAAATACCGATGCATGTTTGAAACAAAATTATCATTTCAAAAATTTATATACTTATAATTTTTAATTATTAACTTTTTACAAAATGTATCTAGAAAGATGCAATTTTTTCCTAATGTTGATATTTATCAAACTTTATAAAAATACCGTTTAAGATTGAAAATAAAAATATTATTTTAACTAATTATTACTATTATTAGAATTAACATGACTTTTATTTCTTTTCCTCAGTTGCAAGCCGATATAGTATGTGTAACCATAACAAACAAATATTTAAATTTAATTATCAGAAAGCGATATTATTTTAAAAATCATTAGCTCAAATTATAATATCTTATGAGTTTGACAATGAGTGTAATTTATGTATCTTATAAACTTCACATAATATTTTGCTTTTATTAATAAACTCCCATTTTGTTTTTTAGAGAAAAAACCTGCAACGAAGAAAGGTACATACAATTAAAAAATTATATAATTAATTAAAATAAATATTTGCATAAGTCGGAATTTTTACATAATTGAGGAGAGGAAAACTGAAAAAAATCTGTCCTGAGTACACTCGAGCTCAATAATGCCTTCTTCGGGCGTAAGATAATCTGAGCGAAAGATTTGAACGTCGAGGACTTGTTTGTGTAATCGAGACTTCGAATTAAGATGTTCCGTAATTTCCCTTGACTATGGTCAGAGAGGGACATGCAGATACGAGTACTTCTAACAAAAGCCGGCTTCGGACCGCAAATAGGGGGAATCTGGGGAAATTTGGAGAATATACAAGGGGTTATCAGATATGTAAAAACCCGAAAAGGGTATACATAAAGAACAATAAAAAAAACTATAAAACTTGCAAAAATATTACAAATTACACAATTTTCTCTAATCTGAGATTGCTTTGTACATATTTTATTCTAAAATTTGTTAAAACGGTTACTTGCAAGAAACCGAAAATTTAATCATTATTAAGTGTTAAAACATTTTGGAAATACATCGACTCTACGTGAAAGTTCTCGATATCCAAATATTGTGCAACTTGGTGATGAAATTTGTGATAATGACAATGATATAAGTAATCTTTTCGCAAAATTGAAAAATAGTTTTTTTAAAGAGTTATAAAACTCTCTGTATACATCCAGGGCTATACCCTTAGAACGGAAATTTGAAAATTACCTCTGAGATATCTACTAAGTTTTTGGGGTCGCTGATTACGAATCTGAAGTCAGATTTCAAATATTTTAAATAATTGATTTTAAAGCAGAACAAATTTTTAACAATTTATTAGATTGGCTTGTATTAATTGAAAGTTGCACTAAAATGTAAATAATTAATTAAAATTTTGTAAATATACACTACCGGTCAAAATTAAGAGACCACCCATTTTCAGGCGAATGAAAAACGTTTTAAAACATAAGATTTATTGAAACTAAAATTTTTTTCTGTTCATTTTTTGATAGATGATAAAATTTTGAAAAGAACAAGATATTTCAGAAGTCGTTTGGCCAATAATTCATTTAGATATTTTTAAAAAATCGTCATTTTCAATGTTTTTCAAAAATTTGAATAACTTCTAGAATAATGAACGCTTTATAATGATCTTAGGCTTATTTTGAAGGTCATTTGTTAAACTATAAGAATTACTTATAGGCATTAACGTGTAATTTTTTTCTTAGAAAATGCAGGCCGTCAAACTTGAACCAAAAAAATTCAAAAAATTGGGAACAATTTTTCTGTACTAAAAACTATTCTAGAAAATATATAAAACATCATATAGTGTAGATTTTTTAAGAAAATTTAATTAAAAAAATACGTTTGAATTTTAAAAATTATTTTTTGTTAATAAGAATGTTCCTAATTTTTTGAATTTTTTTGGTTCAAGTTTGACGGTCTGCATTTTCTAAGAAAAAAATTACACGTTAATGCCTATAAGTAAATCTTATAGTGTAATAAATAACCTTTAAAATAAGCCTAAGATCATTGAAAAGCGTTCATTATTTTAGAAGTTATTTAAATTTTTGTAATACATTGAAAATGACGATTTTTTAAAAATATATAAAAAAAATATTGGCCAAATGACTTCCAAAAGATCTTGTTCTTTTCAAAATTTTAACATCTTTCAAAAAATAAAAAGAAAAAAATTTTAGTTTCTATACATTTTATGTTTTAAAATGTTTTCCAATCATCTGAAAATGGGTGGTCTCTTAATTTTGACCGGTAGTGTAAAGGACGTGCCTGTAGTTAGCCTACACAAATTGTAGTTTCTAGAGCCTAACTACGAAGTTACAGTACGACTTAGACTCCAATTGCTTCGATTTTTTTTGTTTTTTTATTTCTTGTTTTTTATATTTTTTTATTATTTAAAAAAAATATTTTTATTAGAGCTGTGCAAAATTCGAACCGAACCGAGTTTAGTTCGGTTTTGAGGCGCCGAAATGTCGAATGTCGGTTTTTCGACATTCGAACTGGGCGACTGAAATGTCGAATTTTAGAATTCGACACTTTAGCGTGCCAAAACCGAACAAAACTCGGTTCGGTTCGAATTTTGTAGTAACTCGAATGTCGAATATTCGACATCCGAACTGGGTTAGTTCGAATGTCGGTTTTTCGACATTCGAACTGAGCTAGTTCGAATGTCAAAAAACCGACATTCGAACTAAGCTAACTCGAATGTCGAATTTTCGACATTCGAACTAGGCGAAAAAATTCGAACAGTTCGGTTCGAATTATTTTGCACAGCTCTAATTTTTATATGTTTTTTGTAGTCTTTTTCTAGATAAATGACTTTTAAAGCAGGTATTAATTATTTATTGAATGAATATGAATGATAAGATCTGCATTTTAAAATCTCAAATTTCATCATCTACATCTGATTGTAGATCTTCTTCCTCAGATAACTCTATGTTATGTTTAACAAAAGTCGTACTTCGTTAGGATAAGGTAGTTGACTTTTTTGTTGAAGACGTGCTTTCAAACGAAAACTTGATAAAAGGGAATCAGAAGTGTCCATAGCTCTATAAAACATATCTTCGAGATTTGCCAGTCTACTGTGTTTTCTACTGTGATGAAGTCTAAATTTTTTATAATCTTTATTTCTCGCTTCGGAGCCTTCTTCTCCAAGCATACCTACTACTCCCATCGAGTCCCCAAGAACATATCAAAACTACCTCAAGGTCAGTACTTCTATTTTCCAGAATAAACTGAAGTAGAACATTTAGTGTGGTTTAAAAGTTCTTGACGTGATACTACAAGCTACTGTTTCTCTAATCAGATTATAAGAAGGCCAAATATATAATAAATCAATCAATATCACTTTAGACAAAGTATAACATTTACATTTCGCACAGTATTGAGGAATCACTGATAATAAAAGCAAAGCGTGCATAAAATTTGTAAAATTCGTTTTTTCGAAAACTATTTTAAAATCCGCAGCAAACCGCACATGGAACTTATTACGTTTTTAAGACGTCCTATACATGTTCTATGTCTTGGCCATTAGATGTCTTTAAGATGTCTAAAAGACGTCTTTTTCATTCAACATTTGAAAATAGAAAAATTTTCATTAATAGAAACTATCATTTTCTAAGTTCAACTTGGACTTAGAAATTTATGAATGTGAAATTCATTGGAATTTTTCTAAGTTAAATTCATTTTATTGACAAGTGAGATCGTTAACTCACATTACCATCATTGTCCCTGAATTTTCCGCGGACAAAAAGGGACGTCTTTAAGACGTCCCTGTGCCCACTGGGTAATTAACTATATAACTACCTTCTTATGCTTAAAGATACTTACCAGAGATAGTTTTAGAAAAGATAACCAAACAAAATTGTATAAAACTAACAATTTAATATTTCACCAACTTTTCTCTACTTGTTTTCAGAAAAGTTTCTTAGATAACTTTCTGCAAGTTAACACGGAAAAGTAAAAAGTGTAGGTAATTTATATGTCTAGGGAAGCTAACGGGAAAGTAACCATATTAGCTACAGAACTTAACACGGTTAGTTTCCCGCAAAATATGGTGCTATGTGGGAGGTTACTGATTCAATCTGTTGTATAAAAATATGAGTTACCGTACCTTAGAAATTTTAACCTCTTATTTTTTTTGTGTAATGTAGAAAATTGAATTTCAAAATTTTAAGTTAAACAACGCTTGCATGATGAAATAATAATTTCTCTTTTGTTTCTTTTATAGGAAGATGATGCAAGCGGTGTAAGTCTAACCAAATTAATCAATTCTATTATCGGTTCATTTGTTAAAATCTAAAAAGTATATTTTCATTTTGTCTCTCATCATGATTTTTACAATCAGCTTTAAACAATAAATTTAAAATTACAATTCTAAAAGTGCTGCAATGATAAAGCTAAAATTTTAATGTTCCCTTCATAAAAACTTTGTTTACTTATAAAAAATGTTTGTTTAATGAATATTGTAAATTACACTACTTTCCTACATTATTATAATTTAAGGAAAAGTGACACCTTTGACCCGACAAAAATTGATTTCATTTTTTTGCTAAAACGATACTTTATGATGTGTAGAATAGAAATTATATCATGAGAAGTAATTTCGAAGTTACTCTGTGTGAAAGAAATCGAAATTTGCAGAAGGTGTCCAACAGTGATTCGAGTGCTTTTTAGCGCTTTCGGATATTTTTTTATCGTAGCAGCTCAAGAATACTGAAGACAGCATCAAATTGTTCGAAAGGATGAAAATGCTAAGGAAATATTGATGTAGAAAGTCACTTATATGATGCAGGCAACGTAGATTAACAGTGGTTTCATTTTTTATATTTTCACATTACAAAAGTTTAAATGCGTTTTTCTCGAAATGACGTTTTCAAATCGGTGGACAATCTGACTGGAACAGTTTTGATCGGATTGTTTTCGGCCAAAGCGTTTTTAGTTCCTTATTTAATAATGCTTTAGAGTGCGTAGCGGATATTTTTGGTAATAGATTTTTTGAAAAGTTTTTGCTCTAAAAATCGACTTTTTTCTTCAAACAGCTGCCAAATACACAAAAATTAATATTTTAAAAATATCCTACGTGCTCTAAAGCTAAATTTATTACAGATTCAGAAAAACTTTAAATTTTTTATTTAGATTAAACGGTCTAGCCGGAATCTTGTCCACCGATTTGTACTGCAGAGGAACGAGACCAACTTTGGCGCCCTCTATAGACAACAAATTGAAACTTTTTTGAAGTATAAATAAATTTTCGTAAACTTAAAATGTTATTAAATAAAGTCCTAGAAACCTTTTATTTACTTTATTACTGTGTTTTAAAAAATTCACGAATAACAGGTGCAAAAGGCACCTCAAAGGTGTCACTCCCCTTAAAAAATCGAAATACTTAAACTTGATGAATTATATTCAAAGACTGACGATTTTTTATGCTATAATGAGATAAACAATTTATTTTTTCTAATTT